TGGTGACTTTGTCACTGGCACCCACAACAACAAGAGCTAATTTTTTAGTATCTAAACTGAGCGATAAATTTTACGCTAAGATATGAAAGAACGCTTAGCTGCTAGATCAGTTAAAGCATGAACTTTGCGTGAATTTTCGACTGAATTAACTACTCTAGTTGGAGTAGTTAACAATATAATAAAACTACCAACTGAAGCTGCATGAGCTCAGATCAATGATATCAGATTATCAGAAGCCTGATCCAAACTGTAAGAAGACGCATTGTTTCCTTTAGATTTGTTAGCTCGTGAGTTTTGAACCTGATTGGTGTCCACATTATCACTATGCAATTTGGTGTGGTGTTTACCTTAACACGTAAAATACCATTTTTGAGAGAGGCAGTCATAAATAAAATAATTTTTTTGCAAGCAGTTTAAGTATAATTTTTTTTTCTTTACAAATTTTAAATGATCAGGCTAAGGTATTATGGATTGGATGTTCACACAAGAAAAGCAAGGATGAGCTGTCTTCGTCGTTGACAACGCAACTTGCGTCGTATTAGTCAATACACGATTGGTGGTATTGGACGGTCTCTGGGACGTAGTTTGTGACGTACATAGATTTTCGAGAGTCAACTGAAGCACAAGATTATTTAAGAGACTAAATCCTGCATACGAGAAAATTTTTTATGTCAGCGTACGTCGAAAGATCCCCACGAGCTTTTTGTGAAACTTCCCAACACTCACAAGAGTGCTGATCTAGCTTCCAGACGATACAACAAACAAGCCAATTATCATACGACTCCACAGAACATTTTAAGTCTCGTAAAACTCAAACAGCTTCTTCCGTACAATCGATAATATCGCTTAAATCTTAAACTTTTCAAGCTCGTACTATCGGGAAATGCATTCATTTTTCAAATAACTAAATAATTCAATGCACATGTTATGGTAACGTCGAACTACTTCATCCCAAGCAATATCAAAGTTTGCATCAGTGATCTCGAGTTCCTTAAGGCGTAGGGCAGCTTGACCTTTGACAGAATTGAGAAGGTGCTGTAATCTTGCAACATTTGATATTGATTCTTTATTCCGGGTCATTGGCTAAAATTGTTGTTTAACTGACTCCCAATTTTCGTGAGAACCAAAGAATGTGTAAGGTAAAGGACCCAATACTCGACCAGGCACCAACACTTAACCAAAGTATTTATATCATCCGCACATGCGCAAAAGTAAAATGTTGTGATCTACACATACGCAGAAATCAAAAATGAGGTGATCGACTTTTGGGGCAAGAAAGGTATGTTTCTAAATTCTTCAAGATGATTAAACGTTAGAAACTAATCATTTTTTCAGCAACAATTGCAGTGCTAAATTTTCATAACTATTACGTTTTCTTGGCCAATAACCCTAAAAACTGTGTAGACTGGTCGAGTATTGGGTCGTTTACCTTAGGCAATGATAAATTTTCAGTAGTGACAGGTGGGCTGCAAGGCGGTTGCGGGTTTGAGGCTGGATTAGGCTTTATAGCCCTTATACGGTCGATTATTTGACCTTTTAAGCTAACATATGCACCTTCGACATAAGTAAAATAGTAATCTTTATAATAAGGATGATCTGTTAATTCATCTCCATGTTCATAAGAATCATTATGTTGATCCACGAGAACTTTTAAATAATTTTTGAGCAATTCTAGTCTTGCTTCTAAATAGAGCGCTTGTTTTTCAGGGCCTACTTTTGCTGTCGAGTTTTCATGAAAATTTGTTAAGGGAGTATAAAGCATAAGTTGGGCCTTCAATAGCTTTTTTATTCTTATGATTGTCAGGTACCAATTTTCAAAATGACTAAAAACCTAGATAAAAAGAACACAACAGGCCTTGATAACCTGGGAGAAGCAAGTACGATATTTACAACAATGCTGTTTAAAAGCTAGAGCATTTGCTCTCTACAATTGTTTTGAGTTTAACACAGAGTAAAAAGAGAGAAAAAGAATTTAATATAGAGCACTTACAGTACCTGCCTCTCTTTCCACTCGCTCATAATCAGTTTAAACGCTGAAAAAATAGCTTACCGATTAAAAACTGATAAGAGGGAATACTAATTATTTCAGCACAAAGAAGTGTCCAAAAACGCTGGGTATGTAACTTTTTTTTTCCTCTTCGCTGTGCAGCTCGATGATGGATTCAATAGGCCAAACGACCGCAACGATATTGACCATGACGACACTCGAGTCTTTTAAAACGTATTGTAGATGGCTATGTAATGGCCAACAACAACGCTCTGCTACCATACATGTTAAGTCTTAGCTCACTCATAACTTTCATAAAAAAAAATCATGACTCTGAAGCTGTAATACTCAGTCAAACAAAATAAAAAACAAATTGTCTAAAACAAAATAAGGAAGCCGATACAATTCATATAGAAAAAAAATTGACAGCAATTCATCAATACAACTGATGTCTTAAATAAGCTGTAGAAATATATTTACCAAATTATTAATATAGTTTTGTAACAAAAATAAAAATAGGAAAAAAAAGGAAAAGACGTGAGACGAGTAAACAAAACTTGTATCTCTTGCGAGGAAGAACAAACCAGAATTGAATTAAAAAACAATTTGAGTTAATTTAAAAAGAAAAAAATTAAGAAGTTAAAGCCCTAAGGTAATGCTGCTTATTCACTGTGGATCTGAAAAATTTTTTAACTAAAAGAAAGAAAGCCTAAAAAACTGACTTCGATAAAAATCAGCGCGTAAACCTTTTTTTTGTTGACTATTAAGATACAGTGTTAAACTATAGCGACTGTCTCCACTAACGTTTTCTTGAGAAATAGGCTGACACCTACTACTCATGCAAAGAGATAGTGAGAGCCGAGTGCTTCCTACAGACCCTGGGGGGACGGCCTCACACACGTTTGTGTACTTAAGATAAAAACCAATTGATTTGTGAGCGTAATTTGATCACTTATGACAATCGTGAGAAAACCCCCTCCACCATAGCCTAAATCGGGTACTAAACGCTATTCCTAAAACAAAATAACTCATATTGATTCATTGAAATGTGGTTATGTAACGACAGAGAACAAAATGCTTAGAAAAATTAATTTTTTTAGTAAAATCAATTTACATAAGTTAATTTCATGAAAAACTTTCAACAATAAAATCTCCATTCTTTACATCTAGGATGATTATAATATCAAAAAAATCTTGAAATATGAATATATATTTATACAAACATATACGCGCACACATTTACACACAAATTGTTTTTATGTTAATATGTTTCTTTGTAACAAATTTGCAAAGATGTTCAATTATTTCTTAGTAACAATAATTATTTTAAAACTAAAAACCCTTTTTCTAATTAAAATCAGTTCACCAAATCATCAAATATAGCTATTAAAATACATTATGGCTATTGGTATGTACACACACATAGACATTCATACAAACTTTGGTTTTTTTAGTATTGTAACACTCCATTATGTAATTAACATTGCTATCTTTCAAATTTTATAACTTTAAATATGGTTGATCATTAATAAGCAAAAAAATAATACAAAAAATTAAGAAAAAAAGTTATGAAATAAAATATGAAAAAATAATGATATGAAATATGAAATAA